AAAATCCTAGAGGAAAAACTGGTTCAGTCTGCTTTCCACCAGACACTGGGAGATTAATTCACCTTTCAGCAGGACAATAACCTGAAACACAAGGCCAAATAGAAGACAGTGAATGTTCCTGAGCGGCTGAGTTACAGTTTTGACTTAAATCACATTTTCAGTAACTCTGCATTTTTGGATAAGGATCCGTAAGTAAGCATTTCACTGTTAGTCTACACCTGTTGTTTATGAAGCATGTGACAAATAACATTTGATTTGATTTGACACACACCGCCCCTCACACCAGGCATCCTGAGCATGTAGAAATGTGAGGAGGTGTGATAGATCAACTCCAGACTGATCTCTGGCTTGCTGGCCTTTTCTCCTAGTCCCCAGCTGGAGCAGATGGCCTCTAACCACCAGAACCCCACCCCCACCCCAGACACTGGCCACTATCAGGACCAGCAGAGAGAGCCCAGGCTTAGGACAGGGCCGGGTGGCTCCCTGCCTGGTCCTCTTCTGACTGACTGACTGACTGGCTGGTCATGATTTGTTACACATGGGTCATTCCATGTCATTTCAGCAAGCCGTGAAATCGTTTCTGTAGTTCAAAACAGATAAGATTAGCATTCCTGAAACATTATTTTGTTGAAATGTAATTTGATCTCTGAGAAATTAAGCTAATTGATTGCACCCAAATTGGCCCTTTTAATTTATAGGATTCACATAATATTCAACAAATATAGTACCCAACATCCAATTTGGACCCACATTATTTTTACCATTTAATAAACACAAGAGACCAGCACCATGGATAAAAGGGTGTGGTGGCAGTAGCAGGGACAGCGGCATGTAGTAGGCAAAATGTGGTACTTTCACACTAATTAATGGTAAATAATGCAAGCGACTTCAATGGCTAATGTCTTTGAACAGGGGAAAAAACCATCACCAGATTCACAGGGAGTACATTGCAAAGGATGAAGAAGCAATACTCCAAGCAGCAGCTCCATACAACTTGTCAGACATAGAGAACTGATACTGTATACTATCCGTGGGTGGCTTTTAATCATTTTATTGGATTCCTCATGTCATTGTTAGGAATAATTAGGGTCCAAATCGGATGTTAGGTACCATATTTATTGAAGATTATATGAATCCTATCAATTAAAATGGCCAATTTGGGTGCAGTCAATTAGCTTAATTTCAGATCAAATTATATTTCAACAAAATCATGTTTCAGGAATGATAATGTTATCTGTTTCTAACGACACAAAACAATTTCAGAACAATCTGAGATTGTGGGTGTTGAAATCTTCTTTCTTGTGCTTTTTGAGGTGGAATGACTCACATGAGAGATAAGCCAGCCATGTGCTGGGGCTGAGCATGCCACTTAAAAGGCACTGGGTCTCTGTGATCACTAGTGCACTCCCCCCTACCCCTTAACCTCTAACCCTCATCTCTTTTTCTTGTCTCCCTCTCTCATTTTCTCTCTTTCCCTTTCTGTCTTCAGCTTCTGTCTTTCTTTGTTTCTCTTTCTGTGCATCCTGTCTCTTAATTTCTCTTTCTTTCTAAAATAATTACATATGGCAAAGGGCAAAGTTGATCTTTTAAATTATACTTTATTTCATATAAAAACAAAACAATAAACAAATAAATTACATATTTCTAAAATAATGATGTTGATGATTTTTTATTAAAGAACATTGTGATTGTTACAATTGTATTGGGTGTACATAAATGGAATGTCATGCAGTTGATCCTGACATTGTGTAGTATGGGAATCAAAACAACCATACTGAAGATCTTTGTGATACAACTCTCAATGTTGAAGGGCTAAGTTAAATTCATATAGGCTGTTCTGTAGCTAATGGTTTGGTTTTTAGTTGGAGGTCATGAATTGGTATTGCTGCCTTACAGGAGAAAATTGAGCTAAATTGCTAAATGTTTGTTTTAAAAAACACCAAATAAATCTCACACCTCAACGGTAAAGATATCATTGCACACAAAAAGGTAGCCAGCCCCACTGCTCTGGTACCTGAATTACTTTTTACTGTATGTGCATTATGCTTTGCTTTCAACCCACAACACCACCATCTTTATACAAAAAATGCTTTTGAGTCGTCTGAATGAAAAACACCTGGGGCAGTTAGATTGTGAAGCGTTGGTGAAACAGCATCATTGGAGGCTTATCTATATGATTTGAGGTGAACACTTTGCATTCCCTGGAGGATATTTGGAGCGTTCCCCCCAATTGTAACAGAGCATAATAATTAGCATATGTACAGTACCAGTCAAAAGTTACTCATTCAATTATTTATTTTTTAAAAACTATTTTCTACATTGTAGAATAATAGTGAAGACATCAAGACTATGAAATAACACATATGGAATCATGTAGTAACCAAAAAAGTGTTAAACAAATCAAAATATCTTTGAGATTCTTCAAATAGCCACCCTTTGCCTTGATGACAGCTTTGCACACTCTTGGCATTCTCTCAACCAGCTTCACCTGGAATGCTCTTGAAGGAGTTCCCACATATGCTGAGCGCTTTTCCTTCACTCTGCGGTCCAACTCATCCCAAACCATCTCAATTGGGTTGAGTTCGGGTGATTGTGGAGGCCAGGTAATCTGATGCAGCACTCCATCACTCTCCTTCTTGGTCAAATAGCCCTTACACAGCCTGGAGGTGTGTTTGGGTCATTGTCCTGTTGAAAAACAAATGATAGTCCCACTAAGCGCAAACCAGATGGGATGGCGTATCGCTGCAGAATGCTGTGGTAGCCATGCTGGTTAAGTGTGCCTTGAATTCTAAATACATCACAGACAGTGTCACCAGTAAAGCACCCCCACACCATCACACCTCCTCCTCCATGCTTCACGGTGGGACCACACATGCGGAGATCATCCGTTCACCTACTCTGCATCTCACAAAGACACGGCGGTTGGACTCATTTGGACTCATCAGGCCAAAGGACAGATTTCCACCAGTCTAATGTCCATTGCTCGTGTTTCTTGGCCCAAGCAAGTCTCTTCTTCTTATTGGTGTCCTTTAGTAGTGGTTTCTTTGCAGCAATTCAACCATGAAGGCCTGATTCACACAGTCTCCGATGAACAGTTGATGTTGAGATGTGTCTGTTACTTGAAGTCTGTGAAGCATTTATTTGAACAGCAATTTCTGAGGCTGGTAACTCTGATGAACTTATCCTCTGCAGCAGAAGTAACTCTAGGTCTTCCTTTCCTGTGGCAGTCCTCATGAGAGCCAGTTTCATTATAGCGCTTGATGGTTTTTGCGACTGCACTTTAAGAAACTTTCAAAGTTCTTGTCTTAAAGTAATGATGGACTGTCATTTCTCTTTGCTTATTTTAGCTGTTCTTGCCATAATATGGACTTGGTCTTTTACCAAATAGGGCTATCTTCTGTATACCACCCCTACCTTGTCACAACACAACTGTTTGGCTCAAATGCATTAAGAAGGAAATAAATTAAACAAATTAACTTCTAACAAGGCACACCTGTTAATTGAGGTGACTACCTCATGAAGCTGGTTGAGAGAATGCCAAGAGTGTGTAAAGCTGTCATCAAGGCAAAGGGTGGCTACTTTGAAGAATCTCAAATATAAAATATATTTTGATTTGTTTAACACTTTTTTGGTTACTACATGTGTTATTACATAGTTTTGATGTCTTCACTATTATTCTACAATGTAGAAAATAGTAAAAATAATGAAAAACCCTGGAATGAGTAGGTGTGTCCAAACCTTTGACTGGTACTGTATATTAAAAGATGGTAGCAGAATAAAGATGAGTATCAGTGGGAGCCAGGCATTATCATAATAAGGGAGTCTTCATTTGCAAACAGGCCCAGGCTGAGGTGCAGACAGGCTGAGGCTACCCCCCGGATCACCCTACCCTCCCTGTCCCCAGTGTCCCCACAGTCACACCCATCAGGACTGCCAAATACCCTATTGTCAAGGCCCGGCCTCAGCCTGTACCGCTACGAACACACTGGGCCTGGTTAAAGGGTTACAGGGGAAACAAAAGAGGAGGATTCAAAATCAATCACACTGGGCCTTTCACATTCAGACCTTCAGGTCCAGTCCTTTTCTTTTCATACAGCACTGACAGTAGAAGCTGGGCTGCTCCCCCTGTTCCCGCAGTGTCTTGTGTTGAATTGTATTCTTCTCTTTCAGGGCCCAGACCCCCAGACCATACTGTTCTTATAGTTAGTTTATGTTTGCAACAATTGAAAGCATAAGGGATTGGGGGTTCTGAGGGCTTTGACGATTGGCCTGGATGCCATACAAAGGCCAGAGCAGCGTACAAACAGGGGACTGAAGGTGTTTTGATGAAATGGAACGAGAATTGCGAGGACATTTTGGCCGTTAAAACACTTGAATACATTATTTATTTCTTCACCTCAGTTGAACACCTTCATTTTTGTATCATTTAGAATAATTTATAAAAGGTAATTGTCTTTTTTATGATATGTACATAAAATATTTTAATATATTCACAGGAAGAAAAAACATCTGGCACTTTGCTGCCTCTACAGCAACTTTTTAACACAAGAGCTCCTGAGATTTAAGACAATTTTAAATAGCAAAATGTAAAATAATCTTATATATAGAGAGATTTATATTTAACAATCAGCTTCTCTGTTTTTTTTCAATATCAAAATAAATCTTTTATGTTAAAACATATTTTTCTGTTTTAAAAGCCCAGTTTGGATACTGTTCGGATGCTAGCTAAGATGAGTTTGAGTACAAGATGACCATTGTCCATCCTCTCTGTAGAGACCCAAACAAGAGTCATTTTACTGTAAACCCCCAAACCTGATAAGAAGAGGCAGCCATTTTAGATGACCAGGGTTCTGTAGTGCCAAGGTTTGAGATACTGTTCTTGGACACAGTGCCAGAGCAGACAGTCCAAGTACCGCTTTTAATGCAACATGGTCGTTTTCCAAAGTAAACTTCTCCATGTAATGCCCTTTGAGACAGAGTACTCCCGTTGGAGCCGCTGTCTACCGCAGTGCCGTTTTCGGGTCAATCCGAGAATTCACGTCGTGGTAACCCAGCAGACAGGGGTCGGTGGACAGGGCATCGTGGGTAAAGACAGAATCATTGTCCGAGGAGCAAGAGCTGGAGGTGTCCTCGCACGATGGGGAGTACTGTTCGAAAGGTGTCGACAGGTCCAGGTACTAAGAAAAAGAAGCAGGAGAGAAACTGTTCAGTTTGGTAACGCTTTGCATTTGTGTTATTTATTGTATTGTATTTTAAGCTTGACGTTTGTGATGTGTGATGTATAGTAAGTTTGACATTTTATCTGAGACTATGTGCTGTGTACAAACTACAGGGTGTCTTATAGTAATAAACTAAACTATAGCTGGAACAGTATGTTGGAACAGAACATCTGGCGAGCAGATTGTGTATGTGTAAGTGTGTGTGTGTGAACAGGGGTCCCAGACAACCACCTCGTCAGAGATAGACAGCAGCACTCTGTCCAGCTCCTCCACCAGCTGTTTGAAGGTGGGTCGTTGTGTGGGCATGGCATGCCAGCACTCCCTCATCTTCATGTAGCTACACACACACACACACACACACACACACACACACATAGACAGACAGGGCAAGTTAGTACCAGGGTATTTACACACATCCACAGCATTTTCACATTTACAAACATGCAAATGCAGCACAGGAGAGGGACAAAAAAAAGCTTCTGAAACACACTGTAATACATGTCAATGTACAACTTAAAGTTGAAAGGTGAGAAGGCTATGGCGTGTGTTTGATAAGTTTAGGTGTGCACTTATGTGTGTCTACTCACAGTTCATGTGTGCAGTTGGAGGGTTTGTCCATGCGGTGGCCTTCCTTCAGCAGCTTGAAGAGCTCCTCCACAGGGATACCGGGGTACGGCGAGCCCCCCAAGGTAAAGATCTCCCACATCAGCACCCCAAACGACCACACATCACTCTGGTGTGTGTAGACTCTGTCGAACAAGGCCTCTGGCGCCATCCACTTCACTGGCAGACGTCCCTACAAAACAGAACAACAACGTTAGTGAGCGGTGGACAGTCAGTGAGTCAGTTGGTTGCCACGATGCCAGAGCCGAAGTGTCTTTTTAGTTCCAGCCTTTCATCCAGTCGTCTATACATCATTCCCCCACTCCCCCATTCCTCCTCTCTTTCGCCTACTTCCTTCTTCCCTTCCTCGTCCGCTTTTTCTAATGATTTCCCATTAAGCTGGCTGCCAATCAGTGGGCACACATCAAACATCTGTCTGTAGCCCTTTCCTGCAGTCAATGACCAAACGCGTGGGTGGAATGTTATTAATATTTTTCAAAAAACCTGAAGAAAATCCGGTGTTTCTATGTCAAACGGTTTTGTTATATTTCAGTCTTCTGTGACGTATGTAAAGTGTAATATATTGGGATGCAAACTCAAAATGTAAAACATTTCAACTCTATATGTGACATGGTACAGGTGTCTTCTTTAAAAAAAATAAAACATAACCGTGTGTGAGGAGTATACTTTTGTTTCAAAGTAGATTTGTTTAAGACAGTCAAGAATCACTCTGTGTGACGCTGATTTAGCCCACTGCAGTAAAAGGTTAAGAGCATTAAAGCTGCAAACAGGCACAAGCCGACTGGGGGACACTAGACAGAGAGCAGACAGTCTGCTGTGACTACATGTACCAACAGGGGCTGTTCTGAAAGCTGGCCAGCCAGATGACACACAACAGCACAGCCCTGGAACCGGCACTTGGAGAGGGACAAGGTGCCACAGAGCCAGTCAGGAGGATAGCAGGATAGGATAACGCACGTTGGTGGTTTTCTTGTAGTAGTCGATCTGGTGCACTCCTCTTGCAAGGCCGAAGTCTGCGATTTTCATGACGTTGTCTTCCGTGACGAGGACGTTTCTGGCAGCAAGGTCTCTGTGGATGCACTGTAGAGAGAGAGAGAGAGAGAGAGAGAGGAGATACCAGGGTTAAGTCAGAACATAAAGATATACTGAGTTTTTAGTTTTATGTTAAATGTTTATGAAATGTTACTCTACAATTTAGAGTATTGCAATTACATGACCATGTCTACATTGCGGTTTTCTGTTTTTGCAGTCATGTAAAACCAGATAGTATTGACATAGAAATGATTCGCTCTGAGTTTCTAAAATGAAAATACCCGATCTTAAGTCAACACGCAGCGTCCAATTTTAACCAAACGCACCAAATTAAGTCAACTTTATATAGATCTGGAGGTTTTGTTGAAAAACAACCCGTTTGCTGGACTTGAATGGATGTCATTAAGTTTATTTTGGTTTTAATTTCAAATAGACGTGGTATTTGGGGATTCGTGGAAATGAGAAAGCCCTGGTTTTCCAGGGGCTCCGTAATGGTGGGGTGGTTTCAGACTACTGCATTCTTAGCAGGCCACAGAGACAGAAACCCGATGCCGGGGCACAGACGCAGCTCTGCGCCTGTTTGCTAACAGATTTATGGCTGTGCTAAAAAGGACAAAGCCCAGTGCGGCAGGCAGGACGGAGGGATGGAGGGCTGGAGGGGTAAACAGGGCTCAACCACCACTCCACTGTGGAATGCCAGGATGGTGTGTCATACAAAGGGATGTGTTGATAAGAGAGACCAGGTTAGTGAATGAGGAAGGGTATGTTGTGGGGTAGGAGGGAAGGAAGGAAGGAAATAGGGGGGTTGCCACTTGCTCTTGCTTGTTGGCTAAACCCCTTCAGGCCAAAGTCATTCTATAGAAGGCCACATACAGATTTTGATAATCCATATTGAGATGGACATACAAGCTAACAAAACCCCTTTAGGACATAATACTCACCCTTTTGGAGGCCAGGTACTCCATGCCACGTGCCACCTGGTAGGCACAGGACAGCAGGTCTTTGAAGGTGAGCTGCTCCTCTGGCACTTTGGTCACATCAAAGGTGTAGTCCATGCCAGGGGGCCGGCGGGCCCGCAGGTACTCCCTGAGGCTGCCTTTAGACGCATACTCCACCAGCACGTACAGAGGACCTGATGGGGGAGTGGAGACAGTTAGTGATCGACTCCACCCTCCCTATGGACACCTGGAGGCATGGGACCACCATTAATGACCAAGTCACTGAGCAGGGCTGGAGTCGAATGAGTGAGGAGCAACAGTGAGATAGTAGCTTTTGACTTTTGGTTGTCATTATCTGTTGTGAACTTGTATCTTGAACTCACCATCTTCTGTGCACACCCCCAGGAGGTTAATGATGTTCTTGTGCTTGTCCATCACCTTCATCAGCTCCATCTCAGATATGAGATCTGACAGGTCTTTGTCTGTGGCATCATCTGGGGAACGAGAGGGACACACATTTGAAGTCTTAGGAACATACACTAAATATACCAAATTATGTGGACACCCCTTCAAATTAGTGGATTCGGCTATTTCAGCCACACCTGTTGCTGACAGTTGTATAAAAATCGAGCACACGGCCATGCAATCGCCATAGACAAACATTGTCAGTAGAATGGCCTTACTGAAGAGCTCGTGATTTTCAACATGGCACCGTCATAGGATGCCACCTTTCCAACTAGTCAGTTCGTCAAATTCAAATCAAATCACATTGTATTTGTCACATGCGTCGAATACAACAGGTGTAGACCTTACCGTGAAATGCTTACTTACAAACCCTTACAATCCCTTAACCAACAATGCAGTTAAAAATGTCTGCCCTGCTAGAGCTGCCCCGGTCAACTGTAAGTGCCATTATTGTGAAGTGGAAACGTCTAGGAGCAACAACGGCTCAGCCGCAAAGTGGTAGGCCACACAAGCTCACAGAACGTAGAGCGTAAAAATCGTCTGTCCTCAGTTGCAACACTCACTACTGAGTTCCAAACTGCCGCTGGAAGCAACGTCAGCACAATAACTGTTCGTCGGGAGCTTCATGAAATGGGTTTCCATGGCCGAGCAGCCGCACACAAGCCTAAGATCACCAATGCGCAATGCCAAGCATTGGCTGGAGTGGTGTAAAGCTCACCGCCATTGGACTCTGGAGCAGTGGAAACACGTTCTCTGGAGTGATGAATCACGCTTCACCATCTGGCAATCCGACAGACGAATCTGGGTTTTCATGGTCTGGGCTAGGCCCCTTAGTTCCAGTGAAGGGAAATCATAATGTTACAGCATACAATGACATTCTAGACGATTCTGTGCTTCCAACTTTGAGGCAACAGTTTGGGGAAGGCCCTTTCCTGTTTAAGCATGACAATGCCCCCGTGCACAAAGCAAGGTCCATACAGAAATGGTTTGTCGAGATCGGTGTGGAAGAACTTGACTGGCCTGCACAGATCCCGGACCTCAACCCCATCAAACACCTTTGGGATGAATTGGAACGCCGACTGCGAGCCAAGCCTAATCGGCCAACATCAGTGCCCGACCTCACTAATGCTCTTGTGGCTGAATGGAAGTCCCCGTAGCAATGTTCCAACGACTAGTGGAAAGCCTTCCCAGAAGAGTGGAGGCTGTTATAGCAGCGAAGGGGGGACCAACTCCATATTAATGCCCATGATTTTGGAATGAGATGTTCGACGAGCATACTTTTGGTCATGTAGTGTATCTGGAACTAGAGTCAACAATAAATCCTAGTCATTGTCCAGTCTTTCCTAAGAAGATGGTTCCTAGTTCGTACCTTTCAGCATCTTGACAGCCACAGTGGACATGTTCTCCTGATGGTCCTTGTTGAGCCCATAGGCCTCAGCTCTGACCACCTGACCGAAGCAACCCTCGCCCAGTGGCTTCCCTAAAGTCAGACTGGAGATAGGAAGGAATATGATGGTCAGTACAGTGAAGATACATGGAACTCAACAGAAACCAAAACACATATTCAAGATGGACGAACTCAATGACTGACTCAATAACCAGTAAGGAACTAAACCAAAACCCCTAACAAACCAGAAAGTCAAAGAGGACTTACTTCTCCCTGGGAAACTCCCAGTCGGGGTCGTAGGGCAGTTCAAACTCCATGACTCCGGCCAGCATAGGGGAGCAGCTGGAAGACAGGCGGGCCACTCTCATCAGAGACGCACTGGACTTCCCTGACGAGTTAGACTCCACAGAGTACTGTCTGCGGAGGGGGAACTTGGAGAGTTTCTGGACAGGGAGGACATCGAAGGGCTCTCTGCTGGGGTTCACCTGCATGCGACACAGCACCACGATAACGATGGCCATGACCAGAGCCAGGAAGCCAGACGCGTAGATGATGATGTCAGTGTACTTGGTCTCCATTAGGTCCACCTCGTCAGCCACGTCCTCCTCTGTGAGAAGACAATGAGAAGGAAATAAGAGGATGGGTTAGAGACTGACTGTCTCAAGCACAAGTGACCATTTCTTCTGAACTCGATACAAAAAGCTGTATATATGATGTATTTTGTATGTTTTCAGTGTATTTTGAACGCTTTCCGACAATGCAATTAATTACAATAAAAAAAACGGTGCACTAAAATTACAAAAAGTTAACTTGAGTTTACTGATGAACTCTGACAGCCCTAAAAAATACCTTTGGTAAGTTGACTATACTTGGCCCAAAGCACAAGTGACAATTTCTTCTGAACTCTTATAAACTCCTTACTTTGGCCATATGTTGCCATACTGTAGTTTGAAGTATAAACATACCTGAGAGGACGGTGAGCCAGGCAGACTGATGGGAGAAGCCGATGGAGTTTCCAGCCAGACAGGTGTACTCTCCAGCATCCTCCATGGTCACCTTAGTCAGATAGAGAACTTCCACCTCCGACATGTTAAGGCTGCCTGTCTTCAGTATCTGAACATAGGGAGTCCCGTCGGGGCCGTAGCGGCTGCCATTCCTCTCAATGTGTTTCAGCCACTGGATGTGGGGCTGGGCATCGCTGTAGACCTTACAGAAGAACTGGACATCAGTGCCCACCACCGCTGTAGTGTTTGCTGGCAGACCAGCCTGCAGGATAGGCCTGTGTGGGGAGCGCTCTGAAAACACAGAGAGAGGGAGGGAGGGAGAAATAGAGAGAGAGCGTTAGACTCCAAAGGGCCATGAGGATTCCCCTTGCCTGGAAGAATTCAAAGTTCAGCCGTGGGGGACAACGAGAGGGAGATTCCTCTGTTCAACGGAGCACATCGCCTACTCTGAGCTAGCAGAAGTACTCTGGAATGCCTGAAATAACCTAACCATTGAAGTAAATACTAATCTAAAATAACAGTATATTTTAGATTCAGATGAAACAAGGTTATCGCCAGATCGGTCTTATTTGTTTTCTAAATGCTGTGTTTCGCAGGCATGGAGAGAAAGGCCAATGGTAATGACCAGTGTTCATTTGACTGACCGCAGCGCAGCAGCGCCAAAGGGGAAGGGACCGATAAGCAGGCATTGTCTCTCACAACCAACACCAACCAGACTCAGTCAGACTCACTAATTGGTTTCATTAGCAACTTTCTTTTCTAGCCAGGCCAGCTTGGAAGTCGCTGCGTTGCTTCTCTCTCTCTCCGTTCTGTGTGTGCATGCTCTTTTCCCCCTCGCATTCTTCTGGAGACAGCAGTTGACCCCACACTGGACTGCCGAGCTACAGAAATTGGCCAGTCACAGGTCAGGCGGAAAATTGGTTTGGGAGCCTGGCCGTCCGCTCTCTCTCTCCTCTCCCCGCCGGCTCTGTCCTCCCTCTGTCTGAGGTGGGCTTTGGAGCCTCTGTTTTTCTCTCTTTCTGTGTTTCTCTGTGTCTAGCGAGACACCACTGAGGTAGAGTGGGGAGAGCATCGGGACGGGACGGTAATCAGGCCTGACGTGCTAAGTATCATGGGCCGGCAGTAGCTCCGTGGGGAGACGGGCCTGTGTCTAGATGTCTAGAGTGGGGTGGTGGGTGTAGGAGGGGGAAGACAATACCATACAGTACTGCACACACCCTGGAGCATTGACTAGATGTACAGACTTTATAATGAAGTTCATGCCAACTTTACTTTCAGTCATTATGGAGAGACAGACAGAGAGGGCTGGTGTTACAAGTTTGACGGAATGTGGTTGAATTAGAGAATGGTGGAGGGAATTACTTTTGCTCATTACCCATACTATCCCTCCCAGCTTTGGGAGTTGAATGTCAGATGAGCAAACAGCAGACTGTTGGGTAGGCAAAGTGAGGTTTTTGTTGTGAGGTGGATGAGTGAGTGTTCTTACCCAGTACGTCCAGAAGGTAACTGTGTACGATAGAGCCGTATTTGTTCTCCACCAGACAGGTGTAGTTCCCACGGTCTGAAGGCACCACACTCTCCATCACCAGGCTCCAGTGCTGGTGTCTCAACTATAAACGGACAAAACGTACACGTTAGAAATGAGTTGTCTGTACGTTGTGTGTTGGATCGTTCCTATGGATACAAGTTATATTGGCTTGTGCTTTGGAAGTGCTAGTCTGCCTCTATGGTAACTTGTCTTTGATGGAACCAGTGTAAACAGATTCACAGTGTGTTACTTCCCTATTGAGACTAAATGTCAGGTACCAGGGTTGAAGCCAAAGTATGTGGCAGTTATACACTAGTAAAGAAAACAGCAACCACCGTCCTTCTCCCCCTCCCTTCTTCACCCTCCTTCTCTTCCCCACCCTAACCACTCTCCTACTGTCTTTGCTCTCAGGTTGGTCACTGTCTCACCTTGATGCCTCCGATGCGGTGCTCTCCCCTGAACTCGCGTCCGTTCTTCAGCCAGCGGATGGAGGGCAGAGGGCTACCCATGGCCGGGCAGCGGAACTTGACCGTGTTCCCTGCCGGCACTGCGTACAGCTTCTTCTCCATGCGCTGGATGTGGGTCCAGTAGGGACCTCTTGTGAAGTAGACCTGGTCATTTTCAATCTCAGCCGATGTGTCTTCTAGACCGTTGTCCTCATCATCATCACCTGAGCCCAGTAAGTCTGAGAAGCATAAAGACATGGAAAGAGTTAATAACTTTTTTTTATAACTGATCATTCAGGAGACCATAGAGACTAAGACCATAGAAATTAATATATATAACCTATAACTTCATTGGACATATCATCCTATCTCTAAGGCTGAGACTTCTTCTGTCTTCTAAATCTAGACCTCACCTGCTACAGTGATGGTGAAGTTCCTCAGGGGCTCCTTGGTCCCGCGGAGGACACATGCATACACCCCAGAATCCTCGTACGTCACGTCCGTGATCTCCATAACACCCCCGCGGATCTGGATGCGGGCGGTGTGCAGCACCCGGGTCCCCTCCTTGTACCAATACACACCCCCCGGCCGGTTGGTGTCACAGCGCAGCTTGAGGACATCACCCGGTTCCAGAAGCAGGTGCTCAGTGGTGTCCTGACTAAGGTCCTCCAGGACATCTGCAGGGATAACAAAGAGACAAAAACAAACGTGTGAGTACTCGGTCACATACACGTACACACACACACAGGCCAATCAGTGGCCACATCTTGTTCTAAAGAGAGTGGCCATCCCTTCAACTATGACCTTTCAACTCTCGCCCCCATTATCCCCTGACCCGCCAGACACACACACAAAAAGAGGTTGCCATGGCAACTGGGAGGCCTCTCTCCACCTCTCTCTGCTCCTTGTTTTGTTTAGCATGGATCACTGTGGGAGTGAGAGCAAGCTAGCTACAAGAAAAAAGAAAAGAGAAAAGAAGGAAAGAAAGAAAAAAAGAATGTAGCTAATGAACATGTTGTAGTGTGACAGCGGATTGGCCTTCAGAAACAAATCAATGGGGTGGCAATGGTTCAGTGGCGGTTTAAGAGGCAGGCTCAGAGAGAAAGCCCCGTTCCAGCCCACCAAACAGCCTCTCAGTAACACAGATGGCCCCTGTCATCCTCACTCATACTCTGTTCTCTTTACTCCACTGGGATAAAGGTAGTTCAATAGTAATTACCTGCTGGGACTTCAATGGCCGTACTCTGGTCCAGGTAACGAGAGATCAGGGTCCCTATAGGGACAAGGTATGAGATTAATATACTTCCAACTCGTTTCTGTTGTTAGTAATCAATTACTATCAGGACATAATCGACTATAAAACACAAGGCTATGTGGGAAGCATCCAATAGCCTGATGGACAAAGTCTAGTAAGAAGTGTTTACCTGGTAGAACCTGTAGCCAGGCAGACTGCATGGACTGTCGCTGGTGTCCACCGTGTGTGGTGGCCTCAGCCATACAGATGTACTCCCCAGCATCCTCCAGAGACACGTTGCTCAGAGACAGAGTGTTCACATTGGAGATGTTGCTCTGTAGGGCCTCCAGAGCTCTGAGATGTGGCTGGCCCTCGGCTCCCAGGCGCTCTCCGTCTCTTTTCAGCCACTGGACCTTGGTGAATGCCGGCCGGTGGACCTTACACAGCAGCTTCACCTGTCCCCCCACAACCGCCGTAGCGTTCTCAGGATAACCAGGCAGGATGAGCGGACGAGACACAGTCAAATCTGTACCGAGAGAAGAAGAGAGGAGAGAGGGATTGTAAAAAAGAAACGTTTTTAAAACTCCAGTCTCAGTTTACATCTAAACATTTCGGTAAAAGGATTTGTTTCTCGCATTTCTCAGTGTTGTTGTGTTTGAATGTAGACTGGTTGGTTGGTGGGTGATAGAGTGCACTGATAAACTGGGGGCTAACGTGTCACGATAAGGGCTCCCCTGGCCTCAGCCATATGCGGGGTGCCCGCTCAGTCACATTGCTGAAAAGTGCAATTCCAGGCCAATTTTCTGTCTGATTGCTTCCTGCAGCCACTTCAGTAAGTAAAAGGCAATCTGTTCCCCCTGCTTGATGAGCTGCTCGCTCTAACTGCTCCACGCGAGGTAGGCGGAGGAGGAATACACAGGTGAGAGCTAGGTTGAATTCAAACTCAAATTAGCTAAACATTTTATTACCGTTGTATTACACTGTAATAAGTACCTTATATGCTCCCTGTCCAATGAAAAGCTCCCATTCATTTGACTATGTGATTGATCCATCTAGCCATTAGCTTACCATCCCATCCCACACTGTTTCTTTACTTTGCAGAGCAGTACAAAAAGCTGTGGCAACTTTAAAAGTGCCGCTTTCTGTTAAGCTTGGAAAGGCAACATTCCCCACCAAGCAAACAAAGCCATGCTAATGAACTTGTGAGGACTCGGAGCTGCCCGTGGCCTTCATTTGAACTCACAGCTGAGTGTGAATATTCACCCCGTGTCGATGGGGCAAACACAACACAAAACATTTCACTGGTGTGACTCGACTGGCAGGGGGGACTGCGCTGGGTTTGAGCGTTTGACCATCAGATGCCCTTTGCTCTTTCATGACAGTTCCTTTAGGGGTGAATCCATGGTATGCTACGGTTTGTTTATTTTCACATTTTGCAATGTAAGTCTTCTACATTAGTATCCATTCACCACAAAGGATATGCTGAGAACTAACTGCCATAATGCAATATTGTCAGTATGTGTAGAAGAGTGAGCGATAATATTGTAGCCACATTGCTTAAAACACATTAGGATAGCCCAGTGATTAAAGGTCCAATACAGCCATTTTTTATCTCAATATCAAATCATTTCTGGGTAACAATTAAGTACCTTATTGTGATTGTTTTCAATTAAAATTGTCAAAAAGAAACAAAAATAGCTTCTTAGCAAAGAGCCATTTCTCAAGCAAGAATTTTGCTTGGACTGTCTGGGAGTGGTCTGAGTGGGGAAGGGAAAACTTAAAACTAGCTGTTATTGGCAGAGAGGTTTGGAACTCTCTTTCTTATTGGTCTATTAACAAATTTACCGCATGGTGATGACACCAGGCAGGCCAAAACTCCATCCCACCAAAACAGGCTGAAATTGCAAGCGATCTTTTCAAACGGCTCTTACACTAAAAGGCCATATTATCATTTTCACAATTTTACAGTATTATTCCTACCACATAGAAAATTCACATGTTTTACTGCACTGGGCCTTTGACTACTTAAAATGCAAAGCATCCTAGATGCCAATTAATTTGATCTACTGTATGTCATATCTGGAGGGGATGAATTCCTCACTAAATCACAGTCAGCTTGAGTGTGAGCAGCGCTGTTCTGCATTAGCACACTGATTGATGCCTGTGCTCCAGACATATGTGTGTGGCATACATTTCACTCCTCCTCTGAGAAAAAAAATATCACCAACTTTATCCTGCACCAACTTCATAATGGCTGCCTCTGTTCTCTCACTCTCTCGTTCTCTCTCTTTTTTATTTCCCTGGTTGCTAACTGGAACGTTCCTGGGTGGTGTTACCGTGCTGAATTTTTACCAATGAGTCAAATGTCTTCTGGCAGGGACTTAGTGCTGCATTGTGGGCCCCTAGGCGGGGTCCCGGGACCTTCACCACTTCTCCATGGCGGGAGTCAGCTTGACCACGGAGTCATGGGTAGACCCTCTTAAGAAACAGGCCCATTGAAAAACTACCAGGGTTCACCTTACTAATGATGCTGCTTTTCAACTGTAACAGTAGTGTTACGCTAGTGTGTACACCCTTATGTTATACTAGGGAAATTGTGTTTCCATAGCTAGGGCTGACAGTGAGGACTCGTGAAGAGAAGAATCAAGAACCACTGCATAATCAAAACAGTTGCTTTGTGAGAAACTGTTAGCAAGTTTCACAGTTAGCCATTGTTATGTAAATGAAGGCTGAAAAGTACCAGTGGCCTGGCTTTGGCCCCAAGTGAGAGCAGGTCCGCCAGAGGCATGGCCCAGTGAGGCACAGGTGCTGGCCCGCATAGATGGAAACCAAAAAGTCTGAGCCTTCTGGGCAAAACACTGGGGTAAATCCTGTATAATTCCTTGGACTTTCTGGTGGATTGTGCTTCAAAACAGCCAGGGTGTGTACTCAGAGCATGCGCGGACCAACTGGCAAGTGTCTCCACTGATATTTTCAACCTCTCCCTGACCGAGTCTGTAATACCTACATGTTTCAAGCTGACCACCCTAGTCCCTGTGCCCAAGAATGCCAAGGTAACCTGCCTAAATGACTACCGCCCCGTAGCACTCACGTCTGTAGCCATGAAGTGCTTTGAAAGGCCGGTCATGGCTCACATCAACACCATCCTTCCGGAAACCCTAGACCCACTCCAATTCGCATGCCGCCCCAACAGATCCACAGATGACACAATCTCAATTGCACTCTACACTGCCCTTTCCCACCTGGACAACAGGAACACCTATGTGAGAATGCTGTTCATTGACTACAGCTCAGCGTTCAACACCATAGTGCCCACAAAGCTCATCACTAAGCTAAGGTCCCTGGGACTTAACCTCTCCCTCTGCAACTGGATCCTGGACTTCATGACAGGCCACCCCCAGGTGGTAAGGGTAGGCAACAACACATCTGCCACGCTGATCCTCAACACAGGGTCCCCTCAGGAGTGCGTGTTTAGTCCCCTCCTATACTCCCTGTTCACCCACGACTGCGTGGCCAAGCACACGACTTCAACACCATCATTTAGTTTGCTGATGACACAACGGTGGTAGGCCTGAACACCGACAACAATTAGACAGCCAATAGGGAGGAGGTCAGAGACCTGGCAGTGTGGTGCCAGGACAACAGCCTCTCCCTCAACGTGAGCAAGACAAAGGAGCTGATCGTGGACTACAAGAAAAGGAGGGACAAACATTCACATTGACGAGGCTGTAGTGGAGCGGGTTGAGAGCTTCAAGTTCCTTGGTGTCCACATCACCAACAAACTATCATGGTCCAAACACGCCAAGACAGTCGTGAAGAGGGCACGACAACGCCTATTACCCCTCAGGAAACTGAAAAGATTTGGCATGAGTCCCCAGATCCTCAAAAAGTTATACAGCTGCACCATCGAGAGCATCCTGACCGGTTGCATCACCGCCTGGTATGGCAACTGCTCGGCATCTGACCGTAAGGCGCTAAAGAGGGTAGTGCATCACTGGGGCCAAGCTTCCTGCCATCTAGGACCTCTATACTAGGCGCTGTCAGAAGAAGGCCCAAAAAATGGTCAAAGGCTCCAGTCACCCAAGTCAAAGACTGTTCTCTCTGCTATCGCACGGCAAGCAGTACCGGAGCGCCAAGTCTAGGTCCAAAATGCTCCTTAACAGCTTCTACCACCAAGTCATAAGACTGTTGAACAATTAATCAAATGGCTATCCAAAGTATTTTCATTGATCCCCCCTCCTTTTTTTTTTACACTGCTGCTACTCGCAGTTTATTATCTATGCATGGTCACTTTACCCCTACCTACATGTACATATTACCTCAATTTACTAACCTTTACCCCCACACAATGACTCTGTACCGGTATCCCCTGTATATAGCCTCGTTATTGTTATTTTATTGTGTTACTTTTTTTACATCTGTTTTTTTTGTTAATTTTTTGTAAATTAATTATTTTCTTAACTGTTATTTTCTTTAAACCGCATTGTTGGTTATGGGCTTGTAAGTAAGCATTTCACGGTAAGGTCTACACCTGTTGTATTCGGCGCATGTGACAAATACAATTTGATTTGAATACTGTGTTATAAAAACATTGACCAAAGTGTTTGAAATTAGCCCTAGACTAGGCTTCCTCCTTTGCTGATAGTGATCAGTATAGGGGCTTAAAAGAGACCCCAGCTCCTGTAAACCTGGAGGGCTGCAATTTGCCAAGCCTGTAGCCAATCTGCACACATCATAACAATACTTAGAGCTGAATGGATGGCTGTGGCAGGTAATAAACAAAGACAGGTGTGTATTTGTAAAGCATCAATGGAAGCCCCCCCTTATCCTCTTCTCCTCCTCTCCTTCCTCCCCTGGCTCTCTCGGCTGGTGACGGGACGGACAGATTTACACTTCCGAGCCTCAGGGTATTGGAGGGATCGAGTAGCACGGTTTACAGCACCAAAAGCACTGGGAGCCTTTTTCTTCTTCTCCTCACCCCCCAAAAATGATTACAACCTTCCTCCTTCCTGTCACCTTGAATTCGACTGGATCACACCTTCCCTATGGCTCGCTGCTCTGCCTATAGAAAGACCAATCTGATTAATCAAAGGGTTACTGTACTCTACAGCTACAGGCATTTTTCTCCTTCCTCAATGAGATCTTTCAGTGAATTAAATGGAACCTTGAGGGAAGTGTTCTTTTATTTTTAAAGCTTTTGTTGGTGGTTTATTTTATTCCTTGTCTGAGCAGAACTGAGCAACCTCACTTGAAATTTGAAGCTGTGCACTATAGAGATACACTTGAGATGTGTATTTTAAGAAACTGCAATGGATAAAGTTGAGAAACCTCCCTCAGTGAGAATTCAACCAGTTATCCATCAGCAAATCATTCTCAAGAGGGTTTGGACTAGTCATTAGTATAGGGGAAATTACACACAAGAACATATAAGAGCAACAGATCTTAGGCAATATTGAGCAACCTACCTTCTGTTTTTCCGTCTTCTGACCCGATGGCTTTGGCCAGGAGTCCAACAGTCAGACAGAGTATGACGATGCAGACCGTGTAGACATTCACCATCTTGCAGATGTGTGTGATAGCAAAAGAATGAAGGGGCAACCCTGGCCTCACACACCGATTCCGGGCATTGGCAAACTCAACACACACCCCAAAAACTGGACCTTGAAAGACAACACAACACAGAATCAGTCAGTCATTATGTAAAATTGTCGCATGTGATTCCAGTAAGTAGCACTGAACTTGTTTGTGATATATAGCCCTGTGAATAGGTAGAGATAGAAAGAGCCTCTTTAAGACTGGCTTTGTATTCTAATTGAACAGGTGTCCTGACTGTCCGGTCATTAGCCTACAGCACATTGTCCACTGTCCCCTCCGTCATGAATAACTAGAAGCTGTGAATATGTGGCTGTTCCAGCCTGTTGTTTGTGAATGGAAGGTGCACAGCCTTTCTGGATAATGGGCCGTTACTATGAAAACACTTGAGACTTGCCAGGAAGCTATCGGGGAGCAACAATAGCAAATTCACAGGCACACTCAACACAACAGACAGGCCAAAACATATAAGCCTAGGCCTAAGTGTGTAATTTTTCCCTGAGGCCACTAAATAATCTAGTGAGTATTCAAATAATTTTAGAGCAGACTGTTCTTATGAGATCAACAAATAATGTTTTATTTGATGGAAAGGGGTTGTTTATTTTTATTATCGCGTGTCAGGGGTCCACAGTTGGCAACAGGAACAAGACTGAGCTTCGTGATTTGTCCAGATGACGACAACTGAACCAAGTCGGGCCAACTGTGCACAGGCGCCAGTCCTGGAGTGTTCCATGCAGACCATGTGCATGCAGCCGTGGTTAGTGGCGGACTTACCATTGGGCAGGAGAACATCATCAAGGGCCCTCGTGAGCTGGGCATTATTTTAAAAAAAGAATAATAGTAATCATTTTTTGAATATAATTTCTCTGCTTGAGGAGAAACAACTGTCATTAATAATAGAAACAAGTGTCATTAATCACCCACGGATTGGTTCATAATAATGGACTATTCCACTCTGACAGAGTTCCTGTGCAATGTTTCATGCGATATGATTGCAAACGTGACTTTCATTGAAATTAAGCTGCAGCAATGAGGCGCTTTTAGAGTGGGCAGAGAAAAGAAAGAGAAAGAAAGAAGATTAAAAAAGGTACAGAAAAATTACCTTAAGTTAACACATTTCTTTAGTAAAAAGACAGGTGCCTCCCCTCTGACCTTCTCCAATGGGTTTTGAGAAGGAGATGAGGAGAGAGGACACAAGGAGTGTATCTGAGGTTGTCTGGCCAAAAAGAGTATGGCATGTCATACATGGGAGACAAAGGGGCGCTGTTTCGCTCGCTCGGATGCTTTCTCCAGTGAGAGTTTCAGCCACTTGCGAATTGTAGGAAAGTTGGCGGGTGCACAGTGCACTGTTTGGATGCTGGAATTAGTTTGGCTGAACGTGCAGCGAAGATAACCTACTTTTTGAAGTGATTTTTTAACAATCAGATGAAAACATAATTACTGGTTGTGTTCATGGCACATCAAAAGGTAATCAATTTTTACAGTTAAATGTACATGTATTTACTATAAAACCCATAAAAAAGCACACACACATAGGATGGATGGGGGGCCTCCGACTGGCCTCTGCCTCCAAATCACTAAGTCCGCCACTAGCTGTGGTGCACACCGTTTAATAACTATCCATGAATGAACTCTATTCTTTCTCCATTTAGCCTAACTGGAAAAAACACAAATTGTATTTCTATATGTTGTGTTATTTACGGCGTGTTTATCTGCAGCGAAGTAAATGGTAGGCGTATCTCGATGTGGCCCCATGTAGGCTAATCTTGGCGTGAAATAAACAAGTGATAGTTGTCCAGTGTTTTGTCTGTGTTTACGTCAAAAGCACCAAGTGAAAGTTAAACATGCACGTGAAGGATTTACGTTAATTTATTTTCTTTAGACCGTTACAATGCTGTTGTCATAAATCAAACGATGTCTTCTGCTCCGTTACCTTCCAACAACCAGCTAGTTCTGTAAAATTTTAACTAGATGACCCTCGTGAGAAATTCCCTATAACTTCAACCATTTTCATATGGCGCGTTACAAGTATTGCCAGCCTATCTTTGTAAACTAACTGATATAACCGATATATATATATATATATATATATATATATATATATATATATATATATATATATATATATATATATATATTGCACGGTTGGAAAAGCTTCTCACATAAGCTATTGGACGAAAAACACAACAACATCATGTCATGTGTGCGCAAAGTCGATCAAATCGATATGACAGTGGAGACAATGTGCAACTATGCCGCAGTGTCTGCGCAGACACTGCCACATTCAACAATCAAGCTCAATATTCACAAACTGAAATTGGTGGGGATACATTATTGCAACCGAAGTAGGCTTTATAATCATGAATTTAATTCAAACTCGTGCATTAGGCTAACAGAATCACATTGTCTGAATTAATGTTTCTAGAAAAACCACAACCAGCCGTGGAACTCTTTGCAAGAAGGGTTATTCATAGGCTTGAATGTGTGGAGTTAAAATCAATTTTGCAATAAAATAATTGTTTACAGGACTTGTCGACTGTAACCACTAAATAAAGTAACATAGGCCTACTACCACGAAATAATTATGCAACCTTGCGGATTCAAGGAAATCATCTTACCTTTTATTTCGTTCTTTGCTCGTAATGATCAATCCTTCATAAAGTTCGATTAGGCACCAGAATATCCTAGTTCCATTTGATCGAGGTCAATATTGGAATCCTCATTTGGGTTTCTGTCCAATCCTTTTTTTAGTCTTTGGTGATTGTCTTCAGTGTGTGTCCGTGTGGAAACCTCGGAGATGCACTTATAAATCCTTCAAAACAACCAAAACGTGAAGGACAGCAGCTCGGTGGTGAGCAGGCAGGGAAGGAGGTAGAGCTGATCCTTCCGGCTGGGGCGCAAAGTCCACTTCACCCTGACCAGATTGTGTTCTCACGTCAGAATGAGGCTCGCGCGCCCGTCTCCTTCTTTCCAGGGGCTCACGCCACAGAAAGTGCTAAATCCATAGGGAGAGACTTCGGCCAAACTTGCTGCTTAATTCTCCCTCCTCTTGAGATTAGACTGAACAAGATCTGTGTTGGTTGTTGCAAATAGAAACAGACAGATCTCCAATGTAGAAGGCGTAGAGTCCCATATCACTCTTCTCAATGTGGATAATTATTAGGCTACAGCGCGGCAACAATGGAACAGATGTTGGTCAATCTTTGCGCACGGTGGTTCGCTCTTCACTCGCGCAGAGTCCGTTCATGAATGAGTTGGTCCCAACAGAACCCAGTACATTAAATAACTAGCTAAATCTCAATTAGGCTAGCTAGCCACGCTCTGTTAATGTTGCGGATATAGGCTACTGCTGCGTCTTGTTGCCAACCCGATCCACTGCACTCTGAGCGCAAGAGTCCCAACAATGGACTAAAACGAGCGAGAAGGGGGGAGTAGGGGGTAAGAGTCTGTAACCCCCACCCCCAAATCAAATCCCCTCAGAGGCTGCCCCCTCGGTGACAAACATAAACCAAGATCTCTGACGCCTCCACTCCATTCACCCATAAATCCAAGATCTGGATTGTTGCTCTATTAATCTTGACACCTATCATTTTCAGGCAGATTTAGCACTTGACTATTGATTGGAAAAATACATATAGGCTATTAGACTTTTAGGTTTATAAAAATAATAATATTTTGAGAAATAAGTCAAGAGCATAACCTGAATTAAAGTTAAACATATATGCATACTAATTAATTACCCATATTTGGCAAATCACTGTAAAGTTAATTCTCCTTCTCATTAATAATTTCATCAAATGTCAAGCTCATTATGCAAATGAAGTTGTTTTTGCGACATCGCTTTATGATGTTCCTTCATTAATTACATGTTAAATTGGTGCGTAAACAAATAGGGCATGAAAGGTTATTTGCAACGCATGCAATTATAAGGTACTTGTTTGGCTTATTCAATAGCTGCGAATAGCCCCCGCTTAATTGCATCATTGCGGTAGAGAGCAAGCCAAAGTAATCCCTTTAGTTGCGGTTAGTCAGAACACAACATGGCTTAATTAATTTATGAATTAAACAAATCACACAATGTCAAACATTTATAGTGTATGATTTTATCAGCTAATAAAATGTATTTTAGTTCGTCATAATCTTTAGGCCATCATATTGTTGAGTACGTCGTATTTTGTTATAAATATTAAATGTTATTATTTAATTTTTTCGCATTTTGCAGGTGCAGGAAGAAACTGGAATTTGAGAGAGAGATAGAGAGGGAGGGGGTAGCTAGAGAGAAGGAGCTAGAGAGACAGCGATATAATGAATGCCAGTGCAAACTAGACGGGAGAGACAGATCTAAGAGGCAAATTGTGTTTGAAATGAACGCCGATCCTCTCATTCATCAATAGCTGCAGCGTAGCACACACAACCTGCTCGCCAGCCTCGGTCTGGCTACTCTCGCGGGCAATAGCTCTAACGTTCTGCCAACAATTTTCTGCTTGAGAGGAGAGGGAACACGGCACATCTTTCGTGTCAGACACAACGTTGTGAGAATGTGGCCCCCATCCAACGCATGCACATAGACACACACACACACAAATCCCTCAAGTTCATGCCATGCCAATGGAGGCTGCTAAAGACAGAAACTACTATTTCTATCCTGTTTAATCAAAGGCTGTTTTTCACTCCACTGTGTGCTCTGTGTGTGCAATGAGGCCCCTGCAGGCTACTGCCAAGCTACTGACTGAGGACTGGAGAATACTGTCCCCATGCCATTGCCCCTCAATGTGACACAGTGAGTGGCCCCTGCTTACCATTGGCCTGCCTGTCTGCTGCCGGACATCACGCTATAAAGCAGTGCAGAGAGAGAGAAAGAGAGAGAGAGAGAGAGCTTGCCCCTGGAGGTCCTTAAATAAAGCATGCATGCTACAAACCCCTCTCCCCATTTCACCTCTGTCCCTCCCTTTCTCTCTCTTCTCATCCCCCTCTCTCTGCATCTCTTTCTCTGTCTTCCTTTCTTTAATTTGCTCTATCTGAGTGTCTCTCTCTCCTCTCCCTCATGCTCTCTCTTTACCCTTCTATCTTCCTGTCCTCTCTGGCCTCCTTCAAAACTGCTGACATTCCGCTCAACAATGAGTCTTTCCCCCCAATCAGCCAGAGCTTGGTTCTCCCGGGCGGTACTAAGCACACCAGCCCAACATCAGCCCAGCTCCCAAATCCCAATGCCACTTTTTTGTGCCGGCCAGCTGAATGTGAATGCCCCATTAAAGCCTATTATCTGCAGCTCCTCTGTTTCCCTCTCTATTTCTTCCGTCCCTCTCTGACTCTCTATCTCATTTTCTCTCCTTCATTCTCGTTTTCTTCCCCTCTCTCCCTCTCCTCTCTCTCGCTCCTTCTCTTTACCTAGCAAGCAGGTCTTATCAGGTATATATTTGTCTGCACTTGTGCTAGAAAACTACAACATGCATTACAACTGCAACATAAAACCTGCCTCAGGTTATGACAAGCAGTCTCTGAATGTTATCAAAAGCTATCTGAAGATTACAGGCAGACTGAGTCACTGTATGTACACCAGAAAAGATAACATTATCATCATATGCATAATTACACTTCTGAACAACACTGTCAATTTAATTTACATAAATATTAAACATCGTAGTACCCAAAACTGAACCTTGGAGAACCGCTTTGGTGACATCATGGTTATTAGACTGACAAGAGATTTACGTATTGTATTTGATCTTTGTCATATCAACTTGCATGTTGAATGTCTTATTCTTTAAATGAGATTTTCAGATTAGATGTGTGGGCTTGTACCATGCATGTCTCTCATCTCTCTCTCTCTGTTAGATCGGCTCACTTTTCTGTCCCCTGTTTTCGGAGATCTAGTTTTAACACGGGTCAGGTCAGCCTTTACGTTGTCTTTAGCCAAAGTCGAAGTACACAAATAAACGAGGGAAAATGGAAGTCAAAAGAAAATAAGATCGGTGCTAATGCCTGCACTATGTGCTTAACCCTCAGAGGGGGTGGGGGTGGGGGTGGGGGGCACATTCCCTGGCCCAAGACCATGGAACAGACACCCCAAGCCTCCGCAATTAATAATTTAACATCACACTAAACTATACCAGGAATCTGTGGTCAATAAACAAGGACTTTAACTAGCGGAGATCGAGTTTCCCTCCCTTATGAAAACGTAGCCAGCCCCCAGTGCCTCTCTGGCAACAGGGAATCAGTGAGGATGCTGTGTTGATGTTGATACAATGTTATTGTACCTGGTTGTTGTGTTACAGACGCAGGTGGGGTCAGAGTCACACACACACACATACACACACACACAAACACACACACAGATCTTTTCTTGTAGTGCTTGGGCAACAGGGCAGGCTAAACACAAGCGTGTGTTTGTGTGATGGGAGGAAGGCCTTGGGTTACAGTATTGAATTTACAAACCTTAGGAGAGGCTTAACCTTTTAAGTCGTTTCTTATTACACCTCCTCCAGATAGCTGGGAGTGAGACCCATGCCTAGGGAACCATTGTGTCCCGTGTAAGAGGACGTGTACATAGTAGCACCAGCTTAAAACACCAGTTAATGAAGAATTTAAGCTTAAATGAGTTTTATCCCATTGAGTCTATTCTTTCCAGGTATTGAAAGCTTAAGTAGGCCTATGTGTGGAGGAAAGTTAATGAGTACTTTTCTTCATTGTGAGGAACTTTGAAGATGTACAGTAAATGTTTTATAACATTTAATCATTAAGTAGGCTTGTGTTATCAGGTAGATTAATTAGGGAGAAACCAGCTCTATATTTTGTTTTGAGAGGCTGCCTTGCCAAAGAAAACAAATTATTGTTTTTTAAAGATACAGCAGTAGGCCTAATCTTTGTCTTGGTCACTTTGTCAGGATCGAACTTTGAACTATTGTTCCACTTTACTAAGCCAACACAGACAACAGCAGATATTGATGATGATGCATTCCAGCGCATCAGATCAATCTAATCTATTAACTATTCTGATTTGTCTTTCTTTCAAATGATAGTTTGTGATTATTTTGCAGGGTGGTTCACAGATAACCCCATTTAGCCTCATTCATCTGTCTTGTGGCCTGTCCCCCTAGCTCTCTTTTTCTGATTACATTAGTGATATGTTGGATGCCTCCCACACCTTAACCAGTCCTCAGAACCCTGGGGCCTTTTAAAGTGTCTGATAGTATTGATAGTATGCATAATTATGCTAATAAGACTAGCTCAGCTGATGCCCGTGAACTTACAGTGGTATGGAGGGCCGGTGAGGATGTTGGAGTGAATGATAATCACCAGGGTTAGTGAGTAGACAGTGTTGGAGGTGAGGTGGGGGAGGGGTTAGAGTGTGAATACAAGGTGGGGCTTGGTCGCTCATTAACTCCATGCTTGTTGGTGCTGGGCTATTGTTCTGTGTAAATCATTACCTGGTCTGGGCCACATACAATAGACTGACTAAGAGTCCCCTACTTTGTAATGCAAGGAGGCTACTGATGCCACAACATGGTCAGAAAGAAAGGGAGAGAGAGAAAGAGAGGGAGGGAGTCCCCTCAGCGTCTCCCACACGCAGCTGTTTTCATAAAGATGGATATCATGACAGCCACTGTTTTTACTCGTTTCTTCTGCCTTTCTTCTTTGATTTTCTTTCTCTCCACTCTCTCTTTCCATCCAGTACGGGATTCCCCTGTCCCCCAGCTAGCAGCAGGCTGAACCTTCCCTGAACTCTTCCCTTTTAATTAATCTCACTGACTTTGTTAATTATTTGTTTGGCTGAGGCCCTCCTTTTGAAGTCGGGAACACATGAGCGCCTGATATAACTGGGCGGGTACTTGTTATCTCTGGTTACTGTTGTGATACAGACTTACAGTAAATAGTCCAGTTATACTACTTTAACTTGACCCCCCCCCAAACATATTATTTTATTCTTCTTGCTTCTTTTTCCCCCACTACAAAGGCCATTCTTAGGAAGTTTATTTGACAATGTTTAAAGTTTTACGATTGTATCTCATCTCTTGTGTTTTGATAACTCTGAACCTCCCTATTTTGTGTGTGTGTATGTGTCGGGGGGTGGGGAGTGGTCAGCTAATGATTCAGTGAGGTTTCAGCATCCTAGGAGGGAATTAGGTGAATGAATCATCTCATTAAGACAACACCATACTGTCCTGGTGTTAGAACTCTCGTTATATGCCGTTTATCACCCATGCAACCATTATTTTAAAGGGGGCATGAAGTATATGAGGATGGAGGGGGGATGGTCCGGAAGGGGGCAGTCCCCCCTCGGGAATTCAGAGAATTTTGCCCCTGAAACGGCTTTGTCCTGCAATCTAGAGTCCCCTGTAGGCTCAGTTGGTAGAGCATGGCGCTTGCAATGCCAGG